TTTCAAATTTTCCAAGCTTAAGTTCCTAGTTACATTCCTTTCCCTGATCAGTCATTTAACTGATAACCAAACATATTCAATTGTGTTTAGATCACAGTGGTAAGGAGGGAGACACACAGCATGGTGCCCATTTTCTTTTATAATGTTGTCAATTTTATGAATTACTTTTTTAGGACGATTTCATTAAGTTAAACAATTTTGCTTTTTGCATTTTGGGATCGTAGCATATTGTCTTCCTCATCAGCCAATTTACCATTGTTTGCTTTGTAGCATATTTCGTGGGTGTTGGATCTTCAATTTTTGTGTCATATGGAGCATTATCCATGCATATCATACTTTGGGGTTGTAAATTTGGAAGAAGCTTTTACAACACCCATTTTTCGAAATTTTCATAGTTTATTCATGCATGGTAATCCTTACTTCGAGCTAATGCTTTATATACAAGTTGAGCACCTGGAACAAATCCTGTGGAACAGCCAGCATGGACAACAAGCAGTCTATTTTTTGAACTGACATTCATTTGTGTGCTCAAAACATGGGCCTTATAAGAAATAGACTAAACCAAATGGGTTTTCTCCCTCGTCTGACGTGTTCCCGCCTGTCACCTTGATCACATCCGGAGGAGTAGGGACGACTTGCAGAAATTTAACAGTGGTTGCGTATTGCAGCATGTATAATTGTCAAGCAAAAGCTGGTTGTAGCGCCTCATTTCACAAATTGTAATATCTATATAATATTTTATATATATACAATATATACATATTTTTATTTTGAAATGAGATTTATTTTAACAATTAGCGTTCCAAATAATTATAGAGCTATGTATCTTTAGGGCTGGATATTTTTTAGCTTTTTTATGCTGTAAGGAAATTTTAAGTACTTCTTTAAAATAATATTTTTAATCTGATTCTAATAGAAAATTCAAACAAGCAATTTTTATGCTTTTTATTGGTGTAAATAAGTAAAAATACTAAAATTTTAAAAATAATTTTTGAAATTTGCTTAAAAATTCTAATTGTGCTGATTTTTTAAAATTATAGATGAGTATTAAAGCATAATTTCTATAAAGGAATTTTATTTCAGTTTATTTTAAATACATAGTGATTAACCTTTTGACTCCTTGATTTTATTACATTTAATTCTAATATTAAAAATTGATTTAACCATAATAATTAGTTTTTGTTTGTATTTTACACTGATTATTTTTTAAATTTATATAGTTTTGCATAAGTTTTTTTTATTTCGGTTATTTATTTATTAGCTCGAAGCGGCATTTTGCGCTGTTTCACTATAAATGTCCGTGTCTCTGCAAATTGTTGTTACCAAATATTTCACCCTGTATTTATTAAAGAAATTAAATAATGAAGAATCTAATGAAATGTTGGTTTCTCACACTGTGACAAAAATGACGGTATCTAGCCATCAATTTTGAATAATGTAATCCTCCACCCCAACATGGGCATCTGACTCCGAATTTCGAATTTGTTTTTTATTATTTCATATTTTGTAAAACTTTAATGGATTTTTGATTAACAAATTCAACAATTTTAAAGCGAGCAATGGAAACACTGCACGGAAAATACATTTTTATCTCCAGTGCGGAAATTCTAAAGATATCTGTTTTCAAATGTTATGGGCGATGTTTCCCATGTAGTTTGGGCGAAGAACATGATTCAATAAATATAGGTAACACACAAAAGTTAAAAAAAAGTTCCTTTTGGCTTATATAATCTGAGTGCTTCTAGATTTTATTTATCTTTTTTTTTCCTTCATACACTCAGAACCTTTTTGCCCGAATTTTATATACTGAAATAAATGTTAATAATTTAATCATGATATAATCAAATAAATAATCGTTTTGTAATGTTATTATAGTTTTGAAATCAAGCCTGAAATGTTCATTAAATTAAAAAAAAAAAAAAAAACAATAGAGATCTTGTTTAAATCTTACCATATTTATTTCAAAGCATCACGTACTACAATCTTATTAATTTTTTTTAATTATTTAAATAAGTTCAGAATTTTGTGCTTAGAGTTTTTACCGTCTTTTATCAAGAAAGATGTTTGTACAGAATTACGGTGAAAAAGTGCGAAATGCTGTAAAAGTGCTTTAATGAGATGTATTAATCCTATTTGAAAAAAACTGTGAATTACAACCTTACTATACCGTATCACATTTATAATAAAAACAGTTATGTGATACAAACGCCATAATCTTCAGTGTTAAAGTAAACCAGATCGTCCCTACTCTTTCTTGCGGACATGTCGGTGACGCGCCCCCCCCACTCGGTTAGTCTATCTCTTATAAGGTCCATGGCTCTAAACTGTATCATGCTGCCAACATTTCCTAAATGTTAAATTGCTATCGATCCATTTGTTCTCAATGTAAACAATGTGGCATTCCCTTGCTCTGAGTTTCATTTCTCACAAATAATTATTCCTCCAAAATACAACATGAGGTCATTGAATGCAAATCTTTGCACAAAGTGTCTTTTTGCCTTATCGCAGGCAGTAATTTCCGCATGGATGGCACTTTCTTTTCTTTGATGTAAAGGTCTTGTATTGTCTGCCATATAACACATTTGTCAAAATTGTCAGTTTTGCACTTTTGCTCACTGGGGTATTTACGTTTCTTTCCAGGTGTACATAGAAGTTTATTTTCACCCATTGTCAATACTTCGTACTTAATTTTTTTAATTGTATATTCCGATACTCAAGTAGCTTCTGATGTTCTCTTCAAAACTTGAGGGAGAGGAACTACTAAAGAGTTTGCCGAAGCTTCAGAAGTGCAAAATTCTGCGACATTATACATGATTACTAACACGCCAGATGCTTTAGAATTATTGAGAAATGGAAAATTCTGTCTAGTTTCATTTTAATCACTTCAGAGTTCATTCAGTATTTCAAAAATCTTGCTTTCAGTTAAGCATGGCCTCCTATCCCTTCTATCAAAAGACTAACAAAATACTACCAAATAAAATATAACTATTGTAAAACAGCAATGAAATACCCTATTCTTTCATGGTGCCAGAGAAATATTTCCATCAAAAGGTAAACAGAAAAGCAAAAGTAATTGGCAGTCACAGTTATTTAGTTTAAGAAAAATACAGTGTATGTACTAGATTATATTAGTGATTTCCATCATAGCTGAATATTAAAACAATAAAATAAGGCTCGTAAAATTAAGCTTACCATTTAAGACAATCCATTCTAATCATTATTATAAACAGTACAAAGTCTGTAATCCGGACGTCCATTATCCGAAATGATCTATAATCCGGACCTCAAAAGCCAGAAACTTTTTATTTTAAATGCGTGTTTAATGCTATGCATGCGTATTTAATGCTACGCATGCGCATTTAATGTTTACACATGTGTATTTAGCACAAAAAAATGAAGCAACTTACATTGAAAGAAATGCTTAATAAAGTAAACAGCTAAATATTAAGCTTTTTTTGTTTGTTTGTTTGTTTGTTTTTTGTAAATTTTGAGATACCCTTTGATACCTTACCATAATTGCTCTTTATTTCATAAATTACGTTTTCATATTTTTAATTTATAATTTCTGCATGCCATCTTACCAGATTTAAATTGACGTTTTATAATCCAGAAAAACCCTTAATCCGGAATCGCCGAAGTCCGAGTCCGGATTACGGACTTCGTACTGTATTATCCTTTTCATGTTGCTCAAAGTTTCAGCTTATTCAAATATTAGTTTGGCTTTTAAAGATTCAAATGAAACTTTCTGTTTTAGTGTATCAAATAAGATACAGCATGTCATCTTGTTTCCATATCATGCTTGATATATCAGGAATATAAAAGTGAAATGCCTTATATATGATATATATTAGAGTGGAAAGTTTAAATTGAATTATTCTAAATAATGGCTTTTCCATGCATCAGCTCTTTTTGAAGGATTTTTTCATTGACCCCTTCCTTACGTTTTTCTCTATAATATACAACATATAACATAATCATAATACAAACATTTACACATAAATAACTTAAAGACAGCAGTTATGCTAATAATATGAACAAAAATTTTCAAAAAATGGTTTATTAGATTTTTGTTTTATTATTATCTTTAATTTTAGAAATATAAAGAAGTTTTTAGAATCAAAATTGTAGATTCCAGTTGCACAAAAATTCAATTTTAACTAAATGTGATTACTCCACTTGAGGTAATGATGCATTTTTTTTAATATTTGGCATATAACTGCTTAACTTAATAATTCTTTAATCACCTCATTCAGAAATATTCAACCTGTTTCTTGTTTTCCATAGTAAATTTCTGATTTGACTGAAGCCTGCTTGTACTTGTTAAGAAGAGTTGAAAGTCAATAATATTGTTGAGTAAAAACTTTTATTTGGGAATATTTCTCTGGGATGATGTTTAAATTCCAAAACTTGCATTCACATGTGTTTTATATAAAACTTATGCTTGAACATAACATCTTCCATCAATGTAATCAACTCGTCTTTAATGTCAGCATCAAATATATGTATTTCATATATGAGACATGCTGGCACATTCAAACTTTCAATGTTTTGGAAGCAAACATTAAATTCTTTTAAATTTTGCAAGTAGCTTTGTGTACAGCAGTATCTTCTGATGAAGTTTTGCTGCTTTTTTTTTTTTTTTTTTTTTTTTTTTTTTTGTGTGTGTGTGTGTGTGTGTTTGTTTGTGTTTGTGCATTTAATTTTTTTATATTGCACTTTTGCTACAAATTTTTATATTTAAAAATATTTATTTTAAATAAACAATTTTTGTATATTTTTCTTTACATTTTGTATGGTTTCTTCCTTAAAGTATATTATAGATTTATATCAATAAATAATTATCAATTTTTCAGTATTAATAATTTTTTGTAATCAATAGAATATTCATTATGCAAATGAATTTCCCGTAAATATTCTATTTGTATGTAGTGAAATTTGTTAGCTTTTAAGAAATTACCAGTTAAAAAAAAATTTCTTTACACTTCTGGTTTATTTTACAGCCCATAACAACGACACTGGCATCTGATCGAGAAGGAAGTTTAACTCTTTCACGCATATGGACCTTACTTTCTATTAAACAGAAAAATGTAATTGCTGAAGAACTAGCCAAAAATGAACAGATATTACAGTCATCTCGCAATGGCAGCACAGTTTTGAAAAAATTTGCTATCTTTCGTTATAAACATCATTATGATAAATGGAAAGAAATTCAAAATAACTTATTAAAATTCAGAAGCATGAAGAATGCAACAAATGTGTGATGTTTGTATAAATCTAAGTAAATATGTATAGTTATGCATTAGGTATTTTGTTATAAATATTTACATCAAATATAAAGATTTTACATCAATTTCAATTCTATGTGTGCATCTTTTCTAAATGACTTAAATACACTATAATTATAATCACTCACTTTTCCTTGATAACTATATCTAAAAATACTATTGTATTTAAGGTCTGTAAAAAAAATCCCTGGTATGGTTGTATGGTATCATTGCAGTGAGTGGTCGCATTCATCTCTGCTGTGCAATATGCATATGTGCTTGCCATAGAAATGAGGATAAAAACTCAAGCTTTTTCGCCAAGATATACTACTTACTTCTAACCTTATTTTGCTTGTTCATTGCCATGGTTTGGCATCGGCTCATGTGTGTTGATGTTTAAATATTTAGCCTCTTGTGAAATGCTTATTTTAAAATATTAAATAAAGTTGGTTTTAACCTATTAGCTGAACTTTTATGATTATTTGGCCTTTCTGATAATCTGATGCAGTCTAATGGATATAAAGCACTGCCGTAGTTGCCCAACCCAAAACATTTGCCGAAGCCTTTTCTATTTGGTGTCCATTGTTTCTAGTGGTGCTTGAACTGAGAGCAGTTAAACTCTTTATATTAATGAACTACTGGCTATTAAAATTGGTACACCATGAAGGCAACATACAAGTAATATGAAATTTGAATGAGAATTACTACATAATGGGGTAAGCAAGTTATTAGCATTCCAGCACAAAATAGTGTGAGGCATACCATCTACACTGTGTATAAATGGGAATAATGCACAAAGTTTCATTTAGAAATTGCATTTTGACATTGGTTTTTGGTAAACTTGATGTTACTCCTTGTGCAAGAATGAGAAACTCCTACTGGCACATGTCAGAATTTGATCATGGCCTATATCCCATGATTGTTGGGTGAATATGGAATCGATGGGTCCAGGAGTACCATATTGAATGCTGTGCAGGATTTTGATGGCTCCAGATCACTAACAGCTAAAAGGACAGACATGTTACCTTCTTTGACTAATAGATTCTACATGCACTCAGCTCAAGTGTAGGATGAAAAGTTTCTGCATGAACAGTGCGAAAATGTCTGCAGTACCACGACCATTGTCGTGGCTTCTGTTGGCTCTGCAGCAGAGACTGGTATGCCTACAGTAGTGCAATAAATGAAAACAATGGACAGAATTTACATCACATCTTTTCAGATAAATCACAGTTCTGCATACAGCATCATGATAGGGGTATCCATGTGTGAAAACACAGAGAACATATTCTACAGCTTGCATTTGTCATTGTCATAAGGGCTGAGACCTGGCCTCTGGTAATATTGGCAGCCACCATTACATTTTTCATAGTTGTGCACTATCTTCGAGGCTAGCGTGACATATTTTAATATGATGGTTCATGACCACATTGTTGTCCATTGTGCTTTGATCTTGCTTGATTAGACTGCTCATCTTGCTCGATTAGACTGTTCCCTTGGTCAGTATATTCTCCAGATATGTCACCCACTGAGAACATCTGATCTTGGCTTGCCAAGAGACAGGCACACCACCATTACAGTCAAAACCGAAATAGATTAACCCCTTCCTGACTTTTCCCAAAGATTTTTACCGTTAATTTTCAGGAAATTTTGTATGCAAGTCGTGCTATTATGTTTAAAATGATATGTATGAAAACAAGCATAAAAAATTGGCATTTTTTATTCACAATTCTGAAACAAAATGAGCCTGCAAGTGTTTAAGCCATATGGTGGTGCTTGGTGTATTGAGAATACGGCAAAGCACACTAGGGCTATCTGCAGAAGGGAAGGGATGCCTTCGTGAAGGACTTTCTAAGGGAAACTGGCTTGTATACATGTTACACATGGGGAGAACCAGAAAACGCCCATGCAGCCAGCCCGTTTGTGGGATTCGAACCTCGTACCGAATTACTAGTGCTCAGCGATTTTACCGCTCTCCCGCTGGTGGGTCAAAGCCACATGGAATGAAACATCTGTTACCAAGCTCAATTCAAATGGATGCCCAGCTGGATTACAGCCGTTGTTGCTGCCAGCTCTGTGTATTGAATTCTGCACCTGTGTACCCTAAACTACCTGCATATTTAATCATGTTTTCCTCTCATTATACAGTCAAAAGTCGTTAATTCGGACAACCATAATCCAGAATGATCTATAATCCGGACCTCAAAGCTAAAAACTTTCTGCGCATGCGCTGCATTGACACATGCGCATAAGACCTTTTTTAACACTGCGTTTGCGCAAGCGCAGAATACGTTTTCGTGTGTGCGTTTTATGTATAACGGACGGTATAATCTAAAATTATCTAATTATATATTTCAGTTAATTGATGATTGTGTTGTTCCTTAATCTTCGAATTGGATCCGGTTTTTATTTTTTTGCAAACTGTAAGAGCAATTTTATAAAAGTAAACTTGAACTTTCGATTATGTCAAATAGGAATTTCCGATTCTGGAGCTCCCAAAGGATCGTACAAAACGAAAGTATGTTTCGATGTCCATCAAACAAAAAGTGGAATTGCTGCAAAAAATGGATAAAAGACATGAAGAATGTGACAGAGAGTTAGTGAAAATGAAAAAATTTCGATTGACAAGTTAGTCGGTATTCTCGGCACAACAATTAACAGGACTTGAACAGTGGAACTTTGTAACTGAACAAGAAATTGTGTCTGTTTATAGAATTAAGAGAAAGTATTATCACATAAAACAAAGCAACTTAAAACAACGTACATTGAAAGAATGTTTAATAAAGTAAACAAATAAATATTAAGCTTTTTTTTTTGTAAATTTTGATACCCTTTAGATTATAATTGTTCTTTATTTCATAAATTAAGGTTTCATATTTTTAATTTTAGAATTTCTGCATGCCATCTTATGAGATTTAAACTGATGATTTATAATCCTGAAAAATCGATAATCCGGAATCGCCGAAGTCCCGACGAGTCCGGATTAATGACTTTTGACTGTATTGTGCGTGTACAATGAATAATATTGTTATTTGCTTTTTTTTCGTGGTACAGCAATTTTATGACCAGCACCATTCCTTAGGCTTGGATTATCTAATACATGTGGATACTTTTAGAATCTGCTGAATATCTCTCATTGCGAGTGGTTGTTTTTTTATCCATATTCTTGAAGAATTTCTGGATTGACTGATAATGTGTCAAAGCATGACTTTTATGAAGCTGATGCTCTCTCTGATCTTGGTCATTCTTTTATTACAGTAGATCAAACCATCAAGATCCAATAGTTTTTTCTCATAACATTCTTGTTGATTACTCAGTTTTTATCTTCTGTCAACTCAGATAAGGCAGGTAATGTTTTCAGTCCAAAAATTCAGTGCAGAGTTTTTCACGAATAAGCACAAATTAAGGTTCCCATAAACAATGCTTATCTGTGTATGATGATTTTTCCATCCATAACTCTTATATCAGAATTTCAGAGATTTCTGTTTTCTGTATTTTAGCTTTTTGCATTCATATAAAAAGTTGATTGGATTTTGGGTAAAATTGGACAGTTGAAAGTAGTACTTTATTAAAGACCATAGTAGTTTTCTTGAAAACTATAATCCAAAACTTTTCAATTTTATTTTATATCAATGAGAACAAATTAAATTTTGACTATATATGAAAAGCTAGATTCGATACATTACTTGGAATTCTTAACAGATTTTCATGAAAAAATATAGAATCACTATAAGAGCATAATAATGCAGCATGTATCAAGCCTATTTCTATGTATTTAGATACAGCCATTTCCTTTGCAGAACTTCAAATCTCTTTTAATGCAGGCATGTAACAAAAAATAACTTACATTTCACTGATGATTATGCACAAAAGCAAATAACACATTTGAAAACTTATATTGCTTTACTACTTACTGATCCAAGAATGCATGGTAGTCACTGTTCAGTTGTATTTCCAAAAATTAACCCCTTAACTGCACGCCTTGCTCAGCCGATAAGTTAACTGCCCCGGGCATATATATACACCCTTTTAAAATACTATCATTTGCTTTGCGCTGCTAGCCGTAAAATTTTTCGCAAAGCTTTGGAATGCAACACCACAATGACCTTGACAAAGATGTGAAGGAGGCTACTATTTCAGAGAAGTGTGGGGAGAAATTGGAGAGAGGAATGTGTCTAAAGCGGTGAAAATAATGACTGCGCGGTATTGGCTAGCGTTGTTTAAGTAAAACGTATTTTTTTTAAATTATTCTGAAACCTCCGTTTTCGTTTACTTTTTGTAGTAGGTTCCAGGAATAAAGAAAGATATAACGGATGTTTCAAACCCATTTATCTTTTTTGAATTATTTTTGATGAACTGCTCGTGCTTCATATTGTTACTGAAACTAATCGTTTTGAAGACGAGTACATGAACCAACACCTTGCAAACGAAAAATCAAGAATAAAATCGTGGCATTCAACCAGTTCAGAAGAAATATGTTTTTTTAGGCATACCGATTTCACAAGGTATAACACAAACCATATATTCCCCTTTACTGGTCTAGAAATTAATTAATCGAAACTCCATTTTAGGGATCTTTTTTATTATAAGAACATCATTTTTATTATACTTTTACTTAAAACATTAAATTTTGTGCATTCATTTTTTTCTTTTATTCTTTATTTTGTGAAATTGAACAGTTTTTAGAAAGTAAAACTTGCACTTATTTTCCCACAAATACATCGCATAACTACGCGCACCTGTGTGAAAACTGTGGCACTGGGAAATGAATCTTGTAAGTTTTCCATGGCAGTTAAGGGGTTAATGATCCATATCATACTAATTCACAAGTCAAACAACAAAAATCAGCATTAATTTTCAAAATGTTTTTCACAGGACTAGTTTCGATGGTTTTACCGAACCACCATCCTCAGCTGCAAAACCGCAACTGTGAAAAAAATTTTGAAAATTAACGCTGATTATTGTTGTTTGACTTGTGAATTAGTACTTATTCGGCGTGTGTTTGTGTCTTGATCCATATCATGTTCAAGGAGTCAATCCTAGGTTTCAACTGAACATAATTTGTGTCTTAATTTAGAAAAGTTTAATCTGGCAT